CTGTAATAATTGGGCCTACAAATTTACCCCTAAATGTGGGAGAGTGGATAAAAAGTTACAAAATAGTCCAATAACATATAACAATAAATATGATGGGAAAAAGTACAAAAGGAAGACAGAAATACTGAATAGTCCAAACAAAAAAAGCATACCAATATAACTCAAGGAATGTGTTAAGATCATGTCTGGTAAACAAGAGAAGTGTGGGACTTGAAATCAATGAACCAAAATTGGTGTGTTTGGAAATTAAACCTATTGGGGGACAAAATAATGAAGTAATGGATTATTCCACTCATCACTTGTTTTGGGGTTCTTAAAAAGAAAATGCTTTTGGGGGGAAAGTAGCAGAAGAAGCTGTCCACCAAAAATTGCAGCAGTGAGCTTTAGTATCATGACTGCCACCCACACCGTCTTCTGGGACCCTGGGATCTACTGTAACACCATTAGGCCTTCATCGTTGATCATGATACTCTGACCAGACCAAGGGACCCAGATGCCACCTCCATCTGTGTTGGCTAAATCCCAACTACCACTTGGGATGTGAGACTTCCTTTCTCAGACATCAGAGGGGTAGCCGTGTTAATCTGGATCTGTAAAAAGCAACAGAGAGTCCTGTGGCACCTTTAAGACTAACGTCATCTGATGAAGTGGGTATTCACCCACGAAAGCTTATGCTCCAATACATCTGTTAGTCTTAAAGGTGCCACAGGACTCTCTGTTCCTTTCTCAGACATACACCCCTTGTGTGTCCTTTTTCTTCCCCACCTTATTTCTTCTCTTTCCTCTCTTCTCTCTTCTTTTTCCTCCTTCTGTCTAATAAGATTCTGGCTTAACCAGCGAAGGCTGTATATTTTGCAATGCTGCTGTAAGCCAGTGACTAGACAGGCAACTAAAAGCAATGCCCTTAACAACCTGACACAGGTACAACTTCGCCAGGTCTCAGAGTAGCTGATTAGAGCAGAAGTTCTCAAACTGTAGTCCGCTGACCACCAGTGGTCCGTAAGCACCATTCAGGTGATCCGTGGACAGTTCCCTCTAAGGTGTGCGCCTTAGCAGCTGTTGAGAGAATGAAGGGCTATCCACCTAATTAGTAGAGCCGCGCAGGCGGGGCTCCACTAATTAGGTGCCTGGTCCGTGGAGAAGATGCACATGTAAGATGAGGTGGTGCCCTTGGGGGGAATAGGGGGTAGATGGGAGGGGGCAATGGGGTGAGAAGAGGGTGTGGGGGGAATCTGGGACATGCAGGTGGCCAGCCAAAGAGGCGACTTTCCCCAGCTCCAGGGCTGCGGCTGCCAGGGAGAGATGGCCCTCCTTCCCAGCCTCAGCTCTGTGGCTGCTGTGGTGGGGGAGAGACGCCCCGCTCCTTCCCAGCCCCAGCTCAGGGGCTGCTGCAGTTGGGGGAGAGAGGGACAGACCCCCCACTTCTCAGCCCCAGCTTGAGGGCTGCCGTGGCAGGGGAGAGAGGGCACATCCATCGCATTAGAAAGGTAAGACTACTGATATTAAAATATGAGTTGTATGCTTTTTAGTAAGTTTGTTTTTATATAGCTTTTATCCAAAGCACTTTACAATAGTTAGCTAACGGTACAAACAACATTTGGAA